GTGGGGATAGCGGCGTGGTGGGGGTTCGAGGACGGCACAGCGGAAGCGTAGGGTGTTTGTAATTTGTTTATGTCGAAAAAGGACCCTGGAGTGTGTGATTGCTGTGTCTTCTTCCACGCATAACACTATAGGGGGCAACGCAGCAGTGGAGGTGGTGCCCGAGTGCTTCGCGTCTTCGTGCGTAGCGCGGGCAGCCGCATAATGCATCCCGCACATGACCCCCGCTCCCCTTTGTCGTCCCCTGCCACCTTCGATGCGACTCGAACAACGACTGTCTCGGGGAAGGACGCCCCCGTTCACCACCCAGAATCTGTCCGGCTTCTCGCAACACCAGCCAGTCGGCGGCCAACTCACTTCTGCTAGTGTGCCGGAGCAGGGGCTACGATTCCAAAGCCTGCAGCTATCGTCTACACATGCACCGTCGCACGAGGAGCCAGCAGCCATACACTGTACCAGCACATGGAATTCCCCATATTGAAATGCTTCCAAACTTCGGGAGGCGGGTTCGAGCCTAACATGCCCAACATTTGTTCACCATCTTTTCTGGAAGCCTCGATTTTGTTTAGTTCCTCGGAAACTGACTTGTGGCAATGGACGCGGACACGACAAACATCCTTTCGCAGCCAACCGCATGCGACACCGGGCTCGCACCTGTAATGCCGAGCGGTAGATGGGCTTGAGGGACGGGCGGGCGGTGTCGATGGAAAGGATCGCGTCGACCACGGTGCCGTCGCCCTCTGCGGCTCGGTCAGGGTCGACTCTCCGCACCAGCACCTGAAGCAGGTCACTTGAATTATTTGTTTTTTGTGTGTCCCAGACGACACAGGCAAAACGTTCGCGCCGTGCGTGGACGGAAAGACGCAGAGTGAACAACAGAGGGGACGGCCAGGCAGCAGCCAAAGCGAGATAATTTTTAGGAGAAGGACGCCTGTGGATCAGAGGCATCGTCACGCCGTTGCGATTCCGGGTTGAATGGCGTGACGCCGCCGTAAGTTTCCTGCTTTCGAAGTTACCTCTAATCATTTGGAGTACAGGTTTCACCCCCTCCTATAGTCCGCTGGGTTCTCTCCTATCGCAGAAGCAGACGGCAATGGCCTCACACCGACTTCTCCCCCTTACCGCAAACGAAGAAAGGACAGTTGGACACGACCGCCTCCGTTGGCAAGGGGAAAAAACATTACGCATGCATGGATGAGAAAATAAATCTTTGGAGTATATATCAGTTCTTACGCTGGTTCTCGGGAGAGAGAGGCCTGAAAACGATCCCCGATCGTGCTCGGGCCGGG